CAAACCAGGAGATCCTTTTCGCTTGGCCTCCCTTTCGTCCGCCAAATGACAGCTATCCGTCTTCTCTGTATGTACTTTTCAGCCAATCTCCTCCTGTCTATCTTGCCATCCCTTTCCCTCTGTCACTCTCTTGCTCTACCAGGCTATCTTGCGGACGGAAAATTAGGTATCTGCTTCTGCTCCACTGCAAGCCAAGCAAAGCCCTTGGGTCTCGGCCTCTCTTCTCGTGAGAAGAAGATCTCCGAGGAAGGAGATGAGTGTCCTGATGCCTCAGGCAAATCCTCTAAAAGTTATAGACTCTGGCGCGTGTGTAAAACGATTTTTTCCACAAGGCTTATGGTGGTGGCATTTCATCTCGTGATTTATTTCTTTTTGCTTACGAGTTTAGTCAGTCTGGCTGGCTTAAGTGGTAGACTTTTTCATACAGCATGTGAACAGACGCTGCAATTCAATTGCATTCCATTCAGATTGATCTCTCATATGCTAGTCTCACCCCGTCTGGACTGGACTTGAACGGGATTCCTAGTCGGACCGTTAGCAAAGACCGGCGAGGGCCAGTTGGGCAGGTATTTTAAAAGTCGACACTACTTATTCTCGGCATGAGTAGACACAACTTGAATAATAGTTTGGTCATCCCAGCTCGGTTTCACCAAAAGCCGAAGGCGCATTCCTCTTGATCAGCTGTCGATTGGCTTTACTTGAAGATTCATGCTGACGCTGTTTCCCATTCCGATGAAAAGGTGCTAAGCCACTCAGAGGTGACCTCCAGAGGACTGATGGTGGAGTCTCGGCCACAATTGCATGTCACAAACTGTCATTTGGACGATCCAATGGTCACTGGTGGTCGTAGTTTCCTGGTCATTTGATGTGCACGATGCGCTTTCCAATCCCATTTAGGGTGTTGATGAAAGTAAACTCTCGTCGGGATGATAAATTTCTTTGCGAGGCATGGCGGGACAAAATAAAGTGGACTCTTTTAGCTCTTTACGTGGCTTGAGCTGACATCTTTGAGAACCGTACAGAGTGATAGGGTCCTGATAAACTCCAAGAGTTAACCTGGCTATTGACAATTTACTGGTAGTCTGTAAATGATACTTATGAACGAAAAATTAATATGGTTATGTTGACTTCCATTTTGTATGGAGGTGTAATTTATAAAGAAATTCGTAAGTCGATCTTACCGGCAGTCGACGAGACATCTTTCCTCGTTCCGAGTGGAGCCAAGCTCAACCTTCCTGCGTCATGCCACTTGACGGACATAGCCAGAGCCGAAAATAACTCCCAAAGAGGCTTCAGGTTAGCTCCAAATCAAGGCCAAGACTTGAGGAGTTGAATGTAACTAAACCAGCCCCTCATTTTACTTCTCGTTGTTGCCATGACGGCACATCATTTGTTCAAAAAGGCGACATAGCAATTTGATTATTTAGCCATTTTGGCATTATTCAGATCAAATCGTACTTTATCACGCTTCACGTCCTGGGTTCGAACCCCACCACAGCTTCAATGACAAACTTATCACAACCGAGCGAAATTACAAGGTCCCCGTATGAGCAGATGAGCAATAGCCAGATGACGGATAGCGTTGACATTAAATTAGTTTATTAGAAAAAAATTGCGGTTTCATGAATTTGCTGTGCAGGACTCTTTGCTATCTTATCACCGTCATAAAATCATGATATATATATATATGTGTGTGTGTGTATGAGCCTAGATCGCCCAAGGGGATTTACGAATTAATAGTTGAGTTTTTCCTGCAATCAGATGAGTAGGCCTCAGGATGCTGTTAAATTTTTTAATTCTTAATTTTTGCACTCGATGCTGGATTGGGTCGCAGTGTTGACTTCGCATAGGAGGTCTCATCAATAGCTTCAACTGGAAGTGATACCGAGTCGTGAGTAGTATGACAACTTCTACCATTTCTATTTACGGCCAAGGATGTCAGTGAACCACAGGGAAGATTTGATATTCAGGGCAAATCAGGCCTATCACAACCTGTCGACTAAGCAATAAAATGCTTGCCATTGAAATCATCGACATTACTTATTTGGGTATAAGTAGGCTTCGAAACTATTCGTAATGCTTGGATAAGATCATAGCCGCCCTTGGTTGCTCAACATGATTTAAGGACTGGTAGTTAAGCTTTATTTTATAATGGGATGTTGTCATGAGTCCTATTCATCTAATTTTTTGAAAGATTCCACTATTATTCGTTATATTCCCTTGAGCGGCATGAGTTGAAAAAGTTTAATTACAAGAATTACTGAAGATTTCTAAATATAAATATGTCTGAAATGTATGTATGTCTACTTGTAATGCTACTAAAACAACCACAGTCCTCTCAAAATGAGAGAATTTAGTGTTCGCAGAGGGGTTCTACTACCCTTCTCTTGAACCCTTAGTTCGTCCCAAAGTGTTTGAGGCTGTTTGATGAATATTTGCTATAATCAGCACAGGCCACAGAAGATGATGGAGAACTGATAAATGAGGTTTTCTGGGTTTTGCAGCTAACATTATTGACAGACCACCACTATGTCACGCTGTCACGAGTTCCAGAGGGTCACAACTCAAGCGAGACCACTATTATTCCACATTTTTTAATGGGAGTTTTGATAAGGTTCACCTATATTGTATCTGCTGTTAAGTTGTAATGTGGCTCGACTTTTCCGTTATAATTTGTAAATCCTCGTTCACTTTCCAATGAGGCTGATTTACGAACATCTTCGAGCCAACTTTTTCCACGGAATGAA